TTGCATTTCCTTAGACGCACAGAAAATGAGCCACGAGATCCGCGACGCGCCCGTTTGTGAACGTCTATAAACATCTAATTATTTTTTTATTATGTTTTGCTGGCCGCGAAAAGCTATTTCCAACATTTAGAATAACGACAGAGTGTAAACCCCGTCTTTACTCAGCTAATACAATTGACGGTCATATATATATGTATATCTTTTTGCGCATTTTATGCCACACAAATCTCGTTTTTTTTTTTTTGTTTTTTGTGTGTGGTTTATTCTACATTTGAATTATTTCCTTTATTAAAGTCATAAGAAAAATGCCATCAAACTTTTTCTTTTGTGTTAGTTCTGAACTTTCTATTCCAATCTGTGATACGTTTGCATGAAGATGAAATGAACCCAGCTAAGCTCCCACGACGACCGATCTGTCCTGTGCACACCGATACACCGATTCCGAACAGCGCTCGAGACGCATATGCGGTTCACCTCAAAAGTAAACCAAATTGCTGCTGCACCCCCCCCCCCCCCTCCCCCCCCCCTATTTCGCGGTTTTGTCAATGCTCTCATAAAACGACAGAAAAGAAAAAAAGTCAAGGGCAGGCAAGAAAAAGCGCCGACTCCGACTGGGGAATCCCTGAGGCCCTACGGAGTGGTATGCGTGGACTTGTGCTAAGGCAATCGATGAGGCAGCAGCGCAGCTCAGCTGATCGCAGTGCCATGCGATAACCCCCGATGGAGAGGACAGTGCTGCAAGCGTTCGCGTTTCTTCTAGCCTGACTGTTCCTAGCGTAGCTCTCTGGCGGTAAGGAAACCAAACAACCGGTATTCTGCATTTGCAAACGTAATCATTCCGAGAAAATAGCGCCTCCTTTCATTCCTCGCGGCTACGCGCCTCACAAATGACGAAGCTGCCCAACGCTCCTTGTTCATCAATAAATAACGACCTGTTCGTCTAAACTCTGTTTCTGTCCGGGAATACCCGCTCGAAGACTCCTACCAGTGCTAATGTCTAAGCTCAGACTAATTGCCATGAATATGTAGAAGTAGCTGATTTGTCGAGGAACGGATGCCAAAACATAATGCCCAACAACTCCGTGGGGTCATTGTTGTGGGCAAGTTGTGGAACAGCTGAGCTTTGTTTTCGTCGCAAAGCGGCCAGCAGTTCACGGTCGATGCTTCCAAACTTGACATAGATGTTCAGAAGAAGGTCGATCTGACGTTCGGGTCGGACCCAAGTCGCATCCTTTACGTGACATAAGAAAATTCCGCCCAAATACCTGAGATTTTCGAGGAGAACCTTCGTGGAGATCCTGGAGAGGTTGACGCGGTAATCCTCCGATGCGGGTCTTTTGGCAGAACCGACGCTTTGAACACGCTTCGCAACAGCGAATGTGGGTCAAGAGCACATTGTCAGATCAAAATGCACGCATGCTGGTACGTTCCCGCGACGAAAGCAGGACCGTATGTGAAGATCCTAGCCCCCCGTTGTTTACGGTCGTAGGTCACGGATCGAGAAGACAACACGCACCGCGCTGCGGAGGGTGCTGCCATCTATGAAAGACGCCACAACATAATTTGGTTGCGGTTTTGTGCTGCCATCTAGTTGTGTTAAATTAAACCGTTTCGCTGCTTGTATACGCACAGTGTCATCTATGTTCGAAAATCACAACTAAAATATTTGTTTAGGATTATAATTTAAACTGGTTTTGATAATTTGTTAGCAACTTCGTTATAAATAATTTATTAAAGACGTTTAAGAGCGCATTTATTAACCGAGAGTAGTTTTAGCAAGTGCGCGCGAAACAACAACAAAAGAGCGAATACCGAAACAAACAACAAAAGAGCGGACACGCGACGGCACGCTTCTTCTCGACGAGTTTTCCTAACCTAAATATCGGAGCGTCTAATTTGTGCTCCGGCTCGACGCCCGTAAGTGTCCGGAGTTGATACACTTCCTTCGCTTTCCCGCTGGCGCGGGGATGTGCAGCGTGTATTTGTCGCGCCTCGCCAGGTAAAAGCACGCTTTCTTCCGAATGTTTCGGTTGCCTGCCCATTCCGGTTGCCATGGTGATGCCGACGCAAAAGCGCGTTTGCCTGGAAATTTGTTGACGGCGTGCAGTGGTGCACCTCGATTTTCGTGCACGTCCGGAGCCGGTCTAGCGCCCCTCGCCGCAGCTTCAAGGGCGCCTTTGCCTGCGCTTTTGGGTGTGTACTAACCGAGGTACCGTGTGGGTTTTGCCCCCTTCTTTTATTCCTTATATGGAGACGCGCGGCTCGTTGAAATTCAGCGCCTGGACGACGGAGAACCGTCGCGGCTTGGGAGCCCGTATCTGCTTAATCTCTCGCTCTGTGTCGCGCCTTGGGATCCGTCTGTGTGCTCTGGCTTCTCGGGCATGAAAGAATGCGTTGTTCGGGCGATGAGCGCTCGCAGGGACTGCGTCTCGTTTTACACCGTTCCTCCTCTGCGCTGTGTGCGTCTCTTTTTTTCGCTTTGGGTTACTACTATATTTCCTGCTTTGCTCTTTTGACTCGATCGCGCAGCGCGGGCCTTAATATGCATCTCTTTGGCGACGTTTGATCAATATAATGCGCGGCACCATTAGCAACGTCTTTGCGATGTGATGCCCTGATCGCAAGAGTTGGGCCGCGGGGGTTGGTCAATTTTTCTGATCACCTATGCATTGATTGATTTTTGCAGTTGCTTCACGGTAAAGCATGTAAGTGAAAGTCGGAGTCCCAGCATGGATGATGTTGGTGAGTCAGGGCAGACTGATCATTGCATACACCTAAAACGAATTAATTTTTTTGGTGTGTTTTTCTAATTTTTTTTCTAATCCTGTTTTATTTTATTTTTTCAGTCCCAGCTTCACCATTAACTCCTTGCCCCATCTGTGGGCGAACATTTCGTCCCGATGCTTTGGTGAGGGTTTCTTCGATTTTATTAATTAGCACAGCTAAAATGTATAGTTCTGCTACTCACTTTTTTATTCACGCTCCTCCCCCACCGACCCACCCCACACACAGCCCGAACATTTAATAGGGGGGATTAAAATTTACAGCTTGAATTGGTCTTCACACATTTTCTACGCAAATTAATAACAGTCATGACCTATAGCATTTGAGCACCCCCAGACTTTTTTTACTCTTATGTATACCTTTATCACAGGCAAGGCATCAGCGAGTATGCGAAAAGACAAAAGCAAAGCAGCGGAAGGTGTTCGATTCATCAAAACAAAGGGTTGAGGGTACTGAGATGAAAAATGCCCTCAAGCAGGTACCGTCCTCACCTAAGGTAAGCGCAAGCTTGAAAAATTTTGAATTCGGGTTCTTGGGTGGGGTACATGGGGTACATCAACCATTTCGTCGTTTACCCTGAGACTGGGGAGTTTTTAGAAGAGCAGAAGTAACAGAAAAAACAGACAAGTCTCAAACTCAGCTACAAGTTTATTTCAACAACCTCCTCTTATATAGTTCGTTCTCATCGTCATCAACCAATCACATACAATAAACTTGTAGCTGAGTTTGAGACCTGTCTGTTTTTTCTGTTACTTCTGCTCTTCTGAAAACCCCCCAGTCTCAGGGTAAACGACGAAATGGTTGACTTCCTCCAGCTAGCCTGTACTTTGACTCTTTTCTCGTTAATGGGGTACATATGCCTTTAAATTTACTTTCTTCTTCCTTTAGTACCTAGCAGCTTTTTATTTCTATTTTTTCCTTAAGTCCATAGAAACGATACTGCGTGATTACTGCATAGACTAATTCCTGCTTGAACACTGCTTGTTTTAATTTTAAAAATGTTTAATTATAGCCATTTACTATTATAAGTTTTGTTATTTGAAATTGTGAAATGTAATTGTTCAGTCTTTGTTGTCTTGCAGCAAATGCAATATACCATCATTTCAAGTACTAGCTGCAAACAAATTGATGAAGTGTGCTTTGGGTATCAGTTTCTATCTCATCCTTGGTGTCATACTCATGCTTTGTACCCTTTTATAAATTGAAGGGGCTCATTCATCACACACTCTTTCATGACATGGCCTGCAATTGGTCTCAAAAAAGCATTCAGTTGTGTTTCATGATTTTTGTTCTCTGTAACCTTCCATGTGAAATTTCATGTTTCTCCAGGAAAACGTAAAGACTCTCAGAAAAACGGTTAGTGCTGTCACATATATACATCCCAACTCTATACTGATTCAGACAGAACTAATGCATACACAATGCATCTGTTTGATGTCTTTTGATGTGTACCTGACCCTTTGAAGAAGGAAAGAAAGCAAGGGAAGATTTTTTCTTAAATTAATGCCAGTTGCCTGAAAATTAAGTTCACTTCAGTTTTTCTTTTTACAGTGGTATTCTTAACAAAATAAATCTCATGAAAGGGGAATATAAAATATATATACTGTACAAAAAAATGAACTGGAAGGAAAAAAATTACTTGTAAAGAAACACTTTTAGGGAAGCAGTTTGACTTGTCTTGAATATCGTCCACGGGTTGCCATATACAATCTGCTCGGGAAATGAATTGCAGGGAAGAATGAAAGTAAATTTTTAAAATTTGCTATGTCTACAGAAAAGAAGCAGGCTTACTTCATGCTCCTTAGAAATTAAATTTTTTCATGTCAAAGTTTGCGCATCTCCTCGGTCATGGTGTTTTTATTGTAGGTACAGAAAGCAAAGCCCAGGACCAATTGGAAAGAAAAGCATGAAGAGCTCATACGAACAATACGAGCCGCCAGGGGAGAAGACACGGGACCAACGACTGATGGGAACACAAACGGGACAACGGGCCGTCCCGCGATTCCAGCAGGTTAGTAATCATTTCTATGCTCTGCAGCTTCTCTTCCGGAGGGTATGAATCTCGAAGACACCTTACGGTGCTTCGATTTGCATGGCATGACTCAATTATTGAATGGCATATTGCTTTATTGGATGCTACTCATGAAGTATAATCTTCTTTCTCCATAATCCTAGCAGTACCATTACACTGAAACGAATAATCTGCCGCACATTCGCATCTCTTTCTTCTCGCTGTCTTTGTCGTAATTTTGTCACAACACTGCTAAGCAAATAGAATTCTTGTTGGTTTTGAGAAGAGGGAAGCAGGGGAGTACGTGCTACAGGGTGATTCAAGGAGACGCCAGGCTCTTTAAATCGACCGCAAAATTCGGTTTCTTAACCTATCGCGCTACGACTTGGTGCAGCGTTGCCCACAGATGGTCCATTTTTTTTTTGTGAAATTTGCAAAGAGCAAACTTACCTGAGGAAAAAGTAAAGAAAGAAAGAAGCTTAGCTCCTATGGAAACGCAGCGACGCAACCAGTCTTCAAACAACACGGCACCGTTTCGCACGGGAGACAAGTGGTCGTTACGCCAACTGCCGCCAACGAACGAGCATACGACGCCGAGAGCCGGCGTCTTTAGCAGACAAGGAACTGCAGTTCCTTGTTGTTACCGCACCTGTTTCTGTTTTTGTGACTGTTGCTGCCTACAAAACGCGCGCCGCTTTTGAGTCGAAAAGATTGTCTGCTAAAGACGCCAGCTCTCGGCGCCGTATGCTCATTCGTTGGCGGCGTTCGTTGCGCCATCTTTTGTCTCCGGTGTGAAACGATGGCGTGTTGTTTGAAGACCGGTGGCGTCGCTGCGTTTCCATGGGACCTAAGCCTTTTTCTTTCTTTACATTTTTCCTCAGGTAAATTCGCTCTTTGCAACTTTCACAAAAAAAAAAGCACCATCTGTGGGCAACGCTGCACAAAGTCGTAGCGCGATAGGTTAAGAAACCGAATTTTGCGGTCGATTTAAGGAGCCTGGTGTCTCCTTGAATCACCCTGTACATTGGGGTGACATGAAATGCTTAGAAACCAGGATGAATGTGGGGAACACAAAGCCGGAAGAAAATGACAGTGCCAGAGTGGAGTGAACGAAGAAATCGGGATACATTGGAGGCATAAGACAAGGGCAACTTCTGTTCAGTTGTAGGAATTCATAATGCGTGTCTAGAGCCCTGCGCGGATAACAGTTTGATCATCTGCATCCTATCCGCATCCGAACCACATCCGCAGTGTTCTTAAATAATTGAAATCGCATCTGCAGACTTTGTACCCTCATCCGAACTGCATTTGCAAAATTTGGAACCGCATCCGACTTTCAATCCACGGATCCATTTTACATTATAAAATCAAGCATGAATAGAAACTAGGAAAAGCATCTGGATGGTATCCTATCAGCCATTTGCTTACCTTTGTACAAAGAACTCATTGTGTCAAAATACGGTGAAATTAATTTTATCGTATACTGTTTTATCATATTCATAAAATAAAGCATTATCCTTCCAGGGACACTTTGTATTGCTGGAAAGATGGTCGCAGTTATGAGATTGTCTTGGGAGTCTGACACTGACACTCTGTCCAGAGGATGTGCCCCCCCCCCCCCCCCCCCCAAAAAAAAAAAAAAGAAAATTTTAATCTTTTTTTTTTTGTAAAACTCACTACAATTACATGCATATTTTATAAACATGAAAATTAACAAAAGACAGACTATTAACATTGTGTCCTTTTACTTTAACCAAACAATAAAAAAGTGGGAGAGAAAAATGCTCACTCCCCGCAGCAAAGTAGTTGTGTGTAAGTGTTAAGGCGTGAGTACACCACTGGGAAAATATCAGAATATTCAATACTGCGAAGAGGGAGGTTTTGCTAAAACGGCGTGCTGGCATTTCACTAGTGAAACGTCGGCACACTGTTCTGAGGTTTACCAGAAGCTCCCTCTTCACATTCTTCTGCCAGCTTCGCTTTCCTCGGCGCTTTGTTTTAATATTCAATAATGGCAACACCTCCAGTCGGTTTCAGTTTTAAACACTATCACTCAATTGCATGCTCAGTACCATATACTTAAAAACAACTCAGGGCAAACTGTCAAGAAAAAGAAAACGCACACACGCAATGTTTCATTTGTCGAGGTTACTGTGTGGAAGAAACAGAATATCAGCAACATGGACGGATCCAGACTAGTTCTGTTGATGAGGAGTCTCTCTCCGTTGGTGCATTTGATTCTGGGGGTGGCATGCACGAACTGCGCTACAAGAGTGAGGTGCGGAAACTCGTGCTGCCTCAAGTTTGACCATTCCAGAGGATTGAATTCAGTGTCCTTGATCTGCTTGTAGTCAAAGAAGCCACTTGAAAGCCTCTACTTTCTTGTGGCTTGTACTTTTCGGGTTTTCTTTGCCCGAAGAATGTTTTCCACTGTTTCTCTGTCAAACAAGAATGCGCTTTTCCAGGACAACTGATGCTCCTGTATTCTTTACTTTTTCTAGAGACAGCATTTTTCGTGAAATAGAACATTCTAAAGCAATCTCTGGGAGGAATCAAATCTTCCTTGGCGTAAAGAACAATTTTCTCCCCAATTGGTACAATTTTTTATAGGAGAGTAGTCTGGTCCCACAATACATTCAGTCATGTACTTCATAGTATCACTCACTTATTCACTCTGCACAGTACGGTCGCGCACATTTAAGGGGCCCTCGGCAAAAATGTAGATCTAGACCCGTGAATATCCACATCCGATCTGCATCCGCAGCCTTGGCTGGCATCCGATCCGGAATTTGCCAAATCTGATTAATTTTTAATAGGAAAGCATTAACTGTCCCATGGAGCGAGTCGATGTCATCAGTTCGAAGTGCGAAAACGGCACCTAGTTTCCCCGATCCCAAAGGTCCCAATGGCTGGTGCACGGCAACTAGGCTCCCATTGGCCGCTGCGCGCTTCAGTTTCAACGACCGCCGCCAGATAGCGCTGCGTGTCCGTGCCACCAGCGCATTGATAAAACTAACTTCCACAGCTTCATGCCACTACGGGTCCCGCGCCGGTTTAAACGGACACGTTGGTGCGCGCTCGGAGGCTTCTGCTCGTCTCGCCGCCGACCAGCATACTGCCGCCTCCATCATCCACATCGTTGGCGGTGCTTCTACTCGTCTCGCCGCTGACGAACATGGCGCCGCCTCTAGCATGCATCCACATCGTCGCCGGTGCTTCTGCCGCAACTCAAAAACATTACTTGTGCCACAAAACTTCGCGGATCACTCCAAGACGTTCCACTGGACATTCATGTTTTCGCATTAACAACTCATAAGAAGTGCTTAAAGGGACACTGACAGGGTATTTATGCTCGCCGAGTTTTTTTAGTTGTACGTGACATATGAGAGCTCAACTACCCAGAACAGAATTTGCGGCTCGAAATTCGGTTTCTTTCCGCCCGAAAACTGCCGATCAAGAGCTGGCCGGTTCGAGTCTCGCTCACTCTCTTTTTCGCGGTCACGGGCCGTTTTCTAAGATATCGATGCGACCACCAAATTTAATCAAAGTCGTGGGTCACTGAAGGCACACACTCAATATTAAAAATAGAAAAAAAATATGAAACCCATTTTTTGTGGCTCCTAAAAAGCTGTAAATACGTTGATTGAAAAAAAAAGTTCCACAGACAACCGGAAGCATTCTGTGCGTTCGTCGTTTCGCGTATCGTGGGACTCGCGGGGAAGGCGATGGCAGCGGACGACGGGCGTGGGACCTCTATTTCAGAACTGTCGTTCGCAGTACCGGCGAATTCTGTCTACCGTTAAAGAAGAAATTTGGGACTGATTAAAAGAATTGGTATTCATCCCGTACGACACGTCCGGCCACCAAGCCGATTTGCACGAAGACGTCGCCGAGCCGTCGCTCCCTTCTCGTGGCTGAAGACATCGCTCGCGCAAATGTCAAGCACGACGTGTCTACTTCAAGTTGAATATGCACGCGTACGATTTCTTTACTAGGTGCGAATGTCCCCAAAGCGTGGTGCTTCCCGACTTCGACCCGGGAGTGCTTTTGCTAGAGAAAAATCGACAGCAAACTTTCCAACTTACAGTTTACCGGCTGAATTATTACTAAGGAAAGAGATCCACTACAAAAGCGATGCCCCAGTAGCTCAGTGGGAAAGACGTCTGGTTCACACGCGGTAGGTCCGGGTTCGACCCCTGGTGAAACTTTATTTATTTATTTTTTTCAAACATTTTCCGATGTTTACATATTTTTTTCTTTTTTTTACAATCATCACTGAAGAAACAAACAAAAAAAATAAACAAACAAATGTTGTGGACGATACTTCGCTGAATTAAATGGTATGGGATTTCCGTTTTGACACCTGCGAACTCAGTGTAATCACTTTCCACAAAATGCAAGGAGCATATAAATCAGGTAGCGTCCGCTTTCCGAGGTGCCCGTATATGTTCTACAGGAATTGAAGCCAGCCATTGGTCCGGATCCCGTTGATCTTTCGGAAACTCTGTCGCACAATGCCACTTTTTTTCGGATGCAGGACATGTGAGCCAGCTCTTCACGCAACATCTTGGGTGTATTCTTTTCGTAGCCGATCACGGAAATTCACCACGGGCACTCACTACTCATCTCCAACTCCTCAATGTACAAAACAACTCATCTTGGAGTACAGAACAACGAGCGGAACAAACATAACCGCAAAAGAATCGCACGCTGAGCAGTTCCCGCACGCCGCATCGCACGCCGCATGTCGTGTCGTCTGCTACGGAGAGGAAAAAAAAAAAAAAACGCACGGTCGGGTGTAGCCACGTGACTTCCGCCACTCACTCTCTTCTCTCCACTTCTCCGACCTCCGTTGGGTTTCGGTTTCGGTTTCGAGCAGTTGCGTCTTTTGGCTTTATTAAAAAAATACGCTACTCTGTTGCAAAATATTAATTGGGTAGTCCTCCGACACCATAATAAAGCGCCTGGCAAAAAATAAAAAATTTTTTTTGGGGGATGTCAGTGTCCCTTTAAAGCAGTGGTCGGCAAACTTTCGGCGCAGCGGGCCGAGTCGCCGTGAAGCTAAGGTGGAACGGGCCGGACGGCAAGCAGCGGGGAGGGTTGGGGGGGGGGGGGGGGGGGGGGCTTAAACTTAAGAAAAAAGAACACACTTGCACTAACTCACATTGACGTACATAAATCAAAAATGAACAGTTTCTTTATTTCACGACACACGACATGAGATGCAACATTTCCACGAAAACCTTGAGACTCCTCCAAGTGAGACTTCTGGTGTTGCACTGCGCTTGCCAAGCTACGGACATCCACATTCAAGCTACTAACTGCGAGTCGCAAAACATTGTGGAGGTTCTCGTCAGTGATTCGTGAAGGCAGGCAACGGGCAGCGAATTAGACAACCTTATCTTTTTTTGCTTCTTTTTTAGCTGACCGCGTTTGGGGGGGGGGAGCTCTGGGGGGCCTGGGGCCGCATGATACTGCCTCGCGGGCCGGATCCGGCCCGCAGGCCGCTGGTTGCCGACCACGGCTTTAAAGGGATGGTGAACCGAAATTTGGATTTCAAAGAAACGGTGCAGGAGATGTAGGTGGGATGCTACAATCCCTACAACACTACTCGTGAGGCGATATCTGAAATGGACGGCCGTATTTTTATCTGCATCCGCCAGTTTACTGCGTATGATCCGCGGGTAGTTCGCGGATATGCAGGGCTCTAAGTATGTTGTATTTGTGTTTATAACTTATCATAATTTAGAGGTGGCTGAAAAGGCAACATTTCCTTCTAAGGTTACGTGGAATGTCCCACATGCAACCGCAACTTCAGCGACCGAGCAGCTGACCGGCACATTGCCTGGTGCCAGGAGCGAAATAATCGCATCCCTCCGAAGAGCCCTGCCAGTGCCGAAGCAGTTGAAAGGCTCAAGGCAAGGACCAAGGTATGCAATATTCTAAAATAAATCTTTCTTCTACTGCCATACTTCTGGTATAAGTTACATGTCTTAGGAGGAATCAATGCCAACAGCTGTTACACATATTGTTCTGTAACATTGTAATGCATGCTAGCTGTCTGAGCAAGGCAGAGATTTCTCCTAATGCGCAAAATTTATTTCTCTTGTACTTGAATTTTCTTTTTTTTCATCCAAGTAGAGCACAGTATACCTCGCGAGAAACATAGGAATGATATGAAAAATACTTTAAGCTTCTTTCGCATTGAGAATATGAAAATGTTACAATACAGGAAAGTAACATGCTATTGTAAAATACCGCGAAAGCACCCACTTTGTTCAAGCGTCGACTATTAACATTTTCCAAACTTGGGAATTCTGCAAATTATACATTAAGTGCCTGATTTGAGCGGACAAGCGCCCATGTCTAAATTAGCCCAGTTTTCAGTGAAAGTGGAATGGGCGCTCCCCCGGTATTTTACGGTAGGCACTTTTGCTTTAAAGAACTCTTGCACATCCATATAAAACTGTTGCAAGTTTTCATGAATGTGCGTCCGTGACCACACATTCTCGAAGTGTTTGAAACTGTTTTCTAAAAAAACATATTGTTTCCACATCTCCTTATTTGCAAAAGACCACTACCAACACACTATAATTAATACCTCTGTATACCATAAAACTGTTCTAGCATACTTTCTTTTTATTTTTTATTTGTGTTTTAGATTGATTTTAAAAATTTGCCTTAATGGTTTTTGTGGTTTTTGTATGACTGCAATTTTCTTTTTTACTCAACTTTGCCAAACATCAAGGTAAAGGGGCAAATCATTTATCGTGAGCCACTCCTTTAATTCACTTCCATTTTGCAGTGCCAATTTATAACATCATTGACTGAACTCTGTGCCATGCCACATTTTTTTACAGCAAGTTTAGATGATAACACAGTTCTCCTTCTTTTCTTTGGCCATCTTAGGTCTGTAAAAGAGAGGAAGTTGTATTCTAGTATTGGTTGGGTTGTTTGTCACCTATTCCTTTCGTGCAGTACAAGGTTCCAACCCCGGGGAAGAAGAATGGCACAGTGAGCCCCTCCGGGTCCCATGGCTCCAAGGAACTGGCATACAAGACAGTGGCATCAAAGGCAGTTGCCGGGAACCACAAGAGGACCAAGTCTTCACCGTCCATGCTGGAGGCCAACGGGACCAGCACAGGACATCCCAAGAAGGCAGCCGTGAAGTAAGGTTGCATTTTTTTTTCTCCTATTCAAGCATCTCTGACAGAGCTACTATTTCTGCACCTATGCTCTTGGAGCAAGCTGTGTTTCTGTTTTTTTTAGATTTTCTATGGCTAAGCTTTTCTGTCAAGGGTTGTTTTGTGGGTTTGCAGTTCAACAGCAGTTATTTGCATTCTTGAATGAGTTGCTGTATTTATGCTCTGTTTGTGGTAAGAGCCCATGCACCGACTTCTCTGCAGAGTCGTGGGGTATATTCAATCATTGCGACCTTATATAGTCCTCATTCAGTAATACTGTCTATGCTGTGACATCGAGTATGATATTTTGTAATAAGGACTACCTTAGCCTCGCCATTTGCCAGGCTTGTAGATTGCAATGTTGCCTATATGCATGTTTTGTGGGAAGGTAGATGCGTACCATTAGCTCATAACCACTGCACAAGATTTTTAGGTAAATTCGGTGAATCATCATCTGGCTTCTTTTTAGAGCTACATTTTCATGCTCTCCTTCTGCTCACTGTATGTTGGAAAGTCTGAAATTTGATTTCTAAAGAAGCTGTACATATTATTTTTCAAAATACTGATGGATGTTCAGTGTTTAGGATTGGTCAAATTAATGATCTACAACTGCCAAGTTGCAAAAGAGTTTAGAAAGAAAAATGGGTGGCATTAGTGGGTTTTTTAAATGTTGAGAAATATATCAGGTCATACTGTCATATAATTTTCAGTCAAAGCCACAAGCCTGTTGACATACCCAAAGTGCTTATGAACCAAGTTGCTTTCCTGTACCTACCAAATGAGCTTCAATTGCTTGTATGTACTATAGTAAAAATAATCTTTCTAAATCTACCTTACAAACTAATCTTTAAACTATCCATGAACATACATTGCTTTATCAGCTTCTTACCATTTATCACCACTGCCATTTTCTTTTTTGCTGATCACTTCCAATATACCAGTTCACATGTGCTCAGAATGCTAGGTTAATGGCCACAATCATAAATATTAAATATCTGGTCTTCTGCTTCCGAATCAAAATTATTTTTTTCTACCTTCTAGTGAAAGTCACGTGGCAGCGCAAGAACAATAATACGTATAATGAAAATCTTATGAGCAATATCGTGAAAATTAGGGATAACAGCTCGTCGGCTCCTCAGACTTGGTTCATTCGGCTTAGTTCTGAGTTGAATGGAAAGTTGTAGTTTTAGAAAAGTTTCCTGTTTTTAGTTGTTTTTAATATCCCGGAGAGAAAAAAAGATTTGCATGTGTTAACAAAAATTAATTTTTGTTCTTTAGTTACAGGCCAAAGTTTTGAAGAGAAAGACCATCTACTTTCTGGTTCGTTTTTTTTTTTTTATTAGGTATTTTTTAACTTGAAGTTTGACATGCCAAGGAAACAAGATTGCCTTGCACTTCTCCGAACTGCACCGGTGCGCATAGGACAAACAGCCCTCTCAGTCTAGGAGCCCATGTGCAACCTGGCTATTGTATTGTTTAATCAAAGGACGCAGCTGTAGATTTTTTTTGATAATTGAAACCAAGACTACGGCCATCACGTGAGCGGACACAATTCTCATGGAGGCCAATTCATGCACTAAAGGCAGTCTCTGTATTAGCCATTTTTAAGCTAGAGCTCTTTTAATTTTATGAATGTATAGCATGCAATCATGGTTGTTGTATGAATGAAACTGTTTTGTTGCTATATATTATATTTGCCTGTGCTTGGTCCCCTGTTTTCTCTTAATTTCAGTAGGAAAGCAAAGCTGCTTCCAGCACCTTCAAAGCTGAAGACAACAAAAGCAGGAGGAGGGGTCATGAAGTTCAAAGAGAAATTTCCCAACCATGTCAGCAGCCCTCACAGGTTTGAACTTTTCCCTTATACAGGAGACCTCCCAATGACAGTGCTCAAATTGTGTGTCGGTCTAGGGTGCACTCGCTGCTTTAGTGAGTTTCTAAATGGGCTACAGTCGAACGCTACCCTTCCCTTGTGCTGAAACGGTTATAACTTTCAAGTAGCACACATGGCCGTAGAAAGTCTGTAGTATTATATCTTTTGTGTCAGAATAACAAAACTATACTTTTTCAACTAATTAATTTATTGTGGACTAGCCCTTGTCCTTTTAAAGAGCAGACAGGAATGGCTCAAGAAGTCTATTATAAAAGCCTACTCATAACCATACCAAATAAAAGTGATCCCGATGAATAGGTGACTGTAGTGGAAGGGATCGAAAGCAGTTTGGGAATTTTCAGACTACTAGGTGTGCTAGCTGTAATTTCCTGCCGATATTACCCCTTTTCCAGATACACTGACGATGGCTATGATCCCTACAAGAAGGCAGATTTGCAGATGCGTGAGCTGATAAGGGGTACCACACTGGCACCGAAAAACCCGAGAACGGTCCCTGGAGTGCGTACACAGGGTTTGCACAACAACACCAGCAGCAACACCAGTGATTCTAACAGCTACACCAGCACCAACAGGTGGGCATGGACTGCAGAACACTTTAAAACTCCTCGGGCCAGTGCAGATTAATTAGCATTGGTTTTGGTTTTATATGATAAGACTCTTGTTGCACTGCAAAGGGGCCCTTGACCTTGTCCTGGCACGCAGTGGAAAGTATTTTCTGTATCATGCCTGGTTGCAGGCACTGGCGTAAGCAGCTATTTGTGCGCTCTGTGTAGTGACCAATATTATATAGTAGCCCATTAGTGGAGCTTGTTTGTTTGCACTATGAGCATGTATAGAAATCTAATTTCATAATGTGCATTCTTGAGCTTATCCTTGTCATAGGGCTGTAGCTCTTATGTAGCTTGCAAGATTATGACCATAATGCTGTGAGCATTAAATTGATTTTTTATATTTTCCCATCTGTAAGCCATTCCATTCTATAAGTCTCACCCCCCTATAAACAGTCACAAAAAAGTTGATTTATGCAGGGTGTCTAGCGACCGGGAAAACCGGGGATTGTCAGGGAAATTTTATTTACCGGGAAAAATTGCGGAATTGTCAAGGATATTGTCAAAAAGCGAGCCCAGTCAGGGAAAATGAGCCGGAAATGCCATCGAGTGCCCTGAGCAAAGACTTGAGGACGTAAGGGCAGAAAAATGGGCAATAAATTCTGCTTAGAGCGGAGCGCAGGCTTTGCTCACCCGATGTCGAGTGTACTACCTGATGCAAAGGGAACAGCCGACAAACCGAGCACAAGCCTTGGACTGGACTGGATTGAGGGCGCAACACTAGGCTAGATCCAATTAGAGCTACTAGATTTAGTAACAAATGGAAAAGCCACAGACCTCAATTCAATTCAAGATGAAAGTATCCGAAAGTGTGCATCTGGCGGCCATGCTGCCATTTGGTTATTGACGTGTGTGGTTGAGCGTCGTGTTTTCATTGTGCTTCCGGATGCGGCCTTTTCACTGACGATGTCGGCGGCAAGAAGGTGCTTGTTTAATCCGAACTGGACGTTCCCGAATATTTCGGAATATGCAGGTTGGATTGCCTGTGCAAAACGATCCTCACAGTGCTCAATGCTCAATGCCTTGTGTGGTAATGGTCTTACATATTTAACCGCCTCTACAGTGGTCAAAGAATTTCACCTGAAATGGTCAGGGAAAACCTGGAAAGTCAGGGAATTTCAAAATAATAATTTGCTAGACACCCTGTATATATGTCTCACCTTTTTGTAAGTCGACTTGTATACTTGTGTGGTCAGCGTGGCGAAACTGCATTGATAAGCCCACATATCTGTATTGGGGTCACAATATATGCGCAAGCGGAAACCAGTTTCACTATTCTCGCCAACGAATTGAACGAGAAATATAACCACATGGCAGATTTGCGCATTTAAGGTTTACACTTACAGAAACAAATTTGTTTAGTATATGTCACACAATTAAGATGCACCGACGAAAATTTTAGAAAAAAGCCAGGACTTATACGGTTGGAAGTACAGTATATAGCCGGGGTGGCCAAACTGCAGCTCGCGAGCCGCATGCGGCTCTTTGATGGTCCAAGTGCGGTTCCCTGGTAAGCGTGTCCCCCTTCCCTTCCTGTGTCCCTAGAATAAGACAAAGCTCTAGAATAAAAAAAATAAAGCATCTCACAGTCCTGGCAGCCTTGTACTACGTACACTACGTACATACAGCTGCACTGACTTTTTGACACATAGGTGTGTCCAGTGTCCATGTTTCCTTTATTGTTCTAGAAAGAATTTCGAACCGTATACGTATAACGGGCATCAGTAGCAGTGGCTGGCTAGTGAACATCCCACGTAGCATCCAATGTCGTGCGAACATTCCCTGGGTGTTCTGAATGTTGAAGGAACGTTAAAACACCATTCGGAACGTTCTAGGAACGTTCGTATGCGAACATTCCTTACAATGTAAGCTGCTCAACATTGTAGAAACATTTGTTGGCGAACATTCGTATGCACAATGTTCTCAGAACGTTCACCTTCGAACATTCATATGTGCAGCATTCTTGGAACGTTCGCTTGCGAACATTCCTAGAATTTTCGCAGGTGAAGCCGACTTTACGGAGCTTTCAAGCAACCTGTGTTTTGAAACACTATCCACTATATGCCACCTTGTGCCAAAAGTATGCAAATTAAGTGGAGGTTTTGGAAACTTAGCAAAAGGGATCAGTTTTATCTTATACGAGTCTACCGAGGAATGTGAGATAAGGTGTAGGAGAAAAGCAATGGTCTTCAAAATTTGATAATGAAAAAAAGTCAAATTTGGGGGTTTTACGTGCCAAACCTACGACGGGCATCTGGCACGCCCCAGCGGAGGACTGAGGATTAATTTCGACCACCTGGGGATCTTTTGACGTGCAACCGAAAGCTCGGTTACACGGCGCCTTCTCCGCAATAAGCCTCCGTCAGATTGCGAGCACCTCGGTCGGGATTCGAACCCGCCACCTGGGGATCCGTAGACCGGCGCTCTCGCCTCGGAGCCACCGAGGCGGCTAAAATTTGATAATGAGCTTGGCACTCCCTGCGTATGTAGAGGGGCAGTTTTGAATAGACCCGATTTTTAGCATCTTGGATTCAATACCTTGAAGAAGGTATGTCCCGCTTGAGTGTGGGATGCCGTAGGTATCTGTTCTTATGCTCGGAGTGAATAATCGGTTATGTATGGAGCACGTTTTGATAAGTAGGAGTAAACTGCCGTTATAGTACAGGCCCTGGCTAATGCACTGGAAAAGCGGCTAGATTCTGCTAGGCCTGGAAAAAATATACTTCGATTAAAAATATAGATCGCTCTGTGAAATTTATTATATCAATATATGTAGTACGGCTCAGTGGGGCTGTAAGCTAAGCAAGCCATAATTGTGGAATCTTTGTAAACATTCCTCAGAGAATGTTCTTGGGATGTTTTGGGAACATTCTTAAAACCTTGTTAGGATGGTGATTAAATGTTCTGACGTGCTCAGAACGTTCTAAAAATATCCCCTAGAAAACATTCCCCGAATGTAGCGATAAGTGCCTGCGCCACATTCTGACAACGTCGATAGAATGTTCTTACGTAAATTTGCAACATTCAGAGAATGTTGCAGAAGTTCTTTGGATGTACTGAGAACGTTCTTAGAACCTTGTTACGATGTTTCAATGTTGATTGAATGACCTGATGTTCTATGTCGTTCTCAGAACATTCGAAGAATATCCCTTTGAAGACATTCCCCGAATATAGCGATAAGTGCCTGCGCCACATTCTGACAACGTTGATAGAATGTTCTTACGTAAATCTTCAACATTCCAAGAATGTTATCTATGTTATTTTGAACATTCCCGGAATGTTCTCAGAACATTCTCCTGCTACGTGGGATACATTCATTTTTGCTTAGCGGTTGAAGAAACGTTCTGCTGCCTTGTGTTATTTTTTGTAGTCGACGATTATGCATTTCTCCTTTGGAAAGGACTGTTCCCTCCTTATTGTTTCTTGTTAAAAGCAGCCCCTCCCCCTTCCCCTTTTTTTCTTCTTCTTGCGGCTCTTTTAACTTTTGTAGTTTTGTCTGCGGCTCCAACATGATGTCACTTTGGCCACCCCTGGTATATAGTATACTATACTATTTTGAGCAAGCATCCACCAAAAATCAATGCCACAGCCTTATGATAAATGAGAAAAAAAGGTGGTTGCTCAAAGTAAACTTCGGCATTAAAGAGATACTGAACCGAAACTTGTATTTCGCAACATAAGTCCGCAGAAGCATTGAACGAATGCTATGAACTTCAAAACATCACTCATACATTGATATCTGAAGTGGATGGCCATACTTTTGGAAAAGAAAGGCACGATCAAGCGAGGGCTGAGACGTCACAGTCTTCCTGGAACAGTTGAAGATGAGGAAAAGCGGCCTCGCTTCTCTCCTTCTCGCTTCGATTCACCAGCTTGACGTGACATAGCGAGGAGGAGAGGGAATGAGAGAATCGTGACGTGACTTGTGTCGTCGGCCTCGTCGGCTGTGTTCAATCGCGCACTTCTTCTCCAAAAATATGGCGATCCGTTAGAGATATCGCTGTATAAGGAATGTTTTTGAGTATTTAAGCATCCCGCAGATCAGTCCAGCCTTGTTTTGTGAGCTTGAAATTTCGACCCAGTATCCCTTTAAAGAAATGGTAAACCGAAATTTGGATTTAAAAAAAAACAATACTGGAGATTTTGGTGGGACGCTACAATCCCTAGCACACTACTAGTAAGGCGATATCTCAAATGGAAGGCCGTATTTTTAGAAAAAGAAGTTGAGATTGAACCAGGCCGACGAGGCGCGTGACCGTCAAGATACCTAGTTTTCTCCTCTCTTCGCTTCGCTCCCTCAAGGCTGCGAGGCGGAAAAGACACGAGGCCGTTCCCTCTCCTTCTTGGAGAATCATGACGTCAACATTCCTGCCAAATGTGCCTCTTTTTTTAAAAAAAATATGGTCATCCGTTTGAGATATCGCTGTATGAGTGATGTTTTGGTGTTTGTAGCATCCCGTTGCACGCTTTTGCCGCTTGTTTTGGGGAATCCAGATATTGGTTCAGCATCTCTTTAAAGGGAAGATGGGGCACTTCTACATTTGAGAAAAAACGCTTGAATTGCGTTCTTTTGGCCTTTAGAATAACAGATATTACAATTATGTTTCAATGCGACGTGCCGGAGGGCCATAAGAGCAATTTCATAATAGAGCTGAAGCCCCGCCTCCCTAGCCTTGGGCAGCCAAAAGATCCGTCGATGATGTCACGTACAGCGACTGTCTTTCGCGTTTTCTCGCGTTTGACAATACTTGCGCTGCAAATGGTTTGGGTATTCAGGTTGACGGGGTAAAAATACACTAGAATTCACCTCTAACCCATTTTTTTCAAGAAGCTCCATGACTTCCCTTTAGGTTCTTTAGCCAACTCTAAAATTAGTCAAGCAAAGAATGACACGCTTTTGCAGTTTCTGACTTTAAGAATGGTCTTCTTAATCCCACCTCTTGTATCTCTCAGTAGTGGTTCTGAGAACAGGCTGGATGAAGAAATGAACTTCCTGAACTCAAAGTTTGCAGAGCTTGCGAGACCAGGCTTTACTGGAGAGTTCACAAATAAGTAAGTAGATTTGCTGCTGAAATTCTCTTTCTATACATACCTGCTTGACAGTCTGGTCATGTATACTAGCAACGCCACATTCCGCATTTTACCTTATGTTAAAGAAAAAAAAAAGTGGGTTTTCTGTTTTGCAAAGAAACTGAACTATGGAATGCTGGAACTTAATATGAAGAAAATAATCTTGGTGATGATATGATGTTGAGGTCTACAGCACTTGGCGGTGCAGCGATATTCAGTTGGAATGTTTTTCACTTTATACGAGCTTCTTGGCACTAGTGGGACTCAAGTATACTTGCACGCAACGCCACTGGCCAAGAAACTCTTTAGTTGTGGTGTAATTTCAAGGACAAAAGCAAGCATTTTTATTAAATCTCTCCTTCGCACAACTTGATGATGTAGCTGGGTGGTCACAGTACCGCTCAGTGACGACATTTGAATGCAGCTCACAGATTGGACCTGACCGTTGCGGGGGGCTTGTGATAATCGATAGCTTGAGAAGCATTTGGGTAGTGGCCCGTGTCCAGTCGCTGAAATGACGACAATAGCCGAGCCATAACAATGTCTGGAACTCAGCGCGTGTCCTGTGCCTTGGCAATTTCGGCATGTGGCTATGATCAACATTGGCGGCCTATAATCGGTTCCAGATCACGTGGCCGCTTGTTCTGGCTGCGAGTTGAGGGGGGCGAACGCTGCTCGTTTTTTTTTAATTTTTTCTTCAACTTTGATTGCGTGTGGTGAAAAACGAATGGGTGTTTCACGGGTCATTAATGTCAGGGATCCGTTCTAAGCGATATTTGCGCAAAGCACGAAAATCGTTGCATTGCCCCTTTAACATTACCGATGTAAAATTAGAATTGTACCCTTTATTGGCAACAGATAGTATTACTTTTCTCTATGTGTTAACAGGCTCATAGAGCTTTTGGCTATGGCAACATTATGGGCCTACACCGCTTTGTTAATGATTGTCGTTGGGATTACCTTCAGACAGAATTTCAGCTTTCTACATTATAATGCTAAAAAAACCTTAAATTTGGTTTCGAAGTGCTCGATACATACTAGTGCATTTAGTTTGTCTAGTGGACTAGCCATTTGTACTCTTTTATTCTCATGCCAGCAACCTTCGATGTGACAGAGAGGGATAATTGTGTGGAACCTTGCAGAATGCATGTATCCTATCAAAGTGCATCGAGGATTAGAACATGGATGAAAGTGAACTATTTTTAACATTAAAAGGCAAGGAAAATTTGATACTCCCTTCGGTAGTTTACATCCTGCAGCGCACCGGTGTCATGCTGCGAAGCCACGGAGTGGGGCACCGTCCCAGGCTTGTATTCGGAAATATTTTTGAAGGGGAGGGGGGGGGGGGGGGAGGGAGGGGGCTTCTCTCTTTTCTTGGGACAATAGAGGCACTGGCTGTATGGGAGACGATAGCAATCTGCCAAATTTTTGCTGTGAAATAAACACTTCGTTAAGTTTGTCACCTTGCTTCTCGACTGCCTGTTCCGGACTCTGTTCCTGAGATCTGCCAGATGCCAGCGGTCTGACCACGCTATTCAAAGAGACCCTGGCATAAGGAGGGGGGGCGAAGAGGAGAGAGAGAGAGAGAGAGATAGAGAGATTCAGGAATAAAAGGGCATCAGTCTAGCCTCTGGAGCCGCAAGGCCTTTCTGAGCAAAAGAAACAATGAGCCTATGATTTGCGGGCTTGTCGCCATTCGAAAGGCGTCTATAATTTCCCTTTCGACGCGTTCACGAAGATTTACCAGCATCGTCATGGTGACAAAGTCAGGAGCGCAGCCACAACATTCCCCTCTTCGCTTATCTATTGGGTGCTGACTGTTGGGTGTGGCGTCCTCTACTTCTTTCTGATGCTCCCGGAGCCGGTCGTTTAGGCAGCGTCCCGTTTGGGCGATGTATTTAGCACTGCAGGACATGGGCATGGAAAGTTCTGCTCAGTCGTGCAATGGGGTGGCAGGATCGAGTCTCTTTCTGTTTACCAGCGTGCACAGGTCTCCCACCCTCGATTTGCATTTGAAAACTAAATCTGTATAAGAACATCGTGTGCATGTACATAGTTTGAAGCTTCGTGTTTGTAAAAAGTGAGAGAGAAGAAAAGAGAGCATTTCGCTTGACATCTGCAAAGTTGTCCTGAAAACCCCCCCCCCCCCCCCCCCCTTCCAAAAGAAAAAGTAAAAAGTTTAGGTTGGGGGGGAGGGGGGGCTGGGCTTGGGCCCCCCTTCCCCCCATCCAGCATTTCCTTTGCATGCACACCTCCGGAGACTGTTACAACCAACTTTGAATGCAAGTCTTTTTTAGAGGGCAGCTCTTAGGGGCCCCTTTCCAGCCTGAGCGGCGTCGCCGTCGTCGTCGGCGTCGGCGTAACCAGGAGGGGGGGGTCACGTGACTCCCCCCCCCCCCCCCCCCAAGGTCACGTGACTACCCACAGGTGACGTGACCCCCCTCAAAACGTCAGTACCCTTCCCTCAGTACCCTTCCCTACTCCTCCTCAAGAGCTGCGCTCCAATTCGGCGTTACACGGATTTGTAAACGGCTTTTTTTTATGTTTAGTTTGTACCCTTGGCCATAATTTATGGTCCAACATATGAAAGGCTTAATGTTTTGAGTAAAATTCAAAGTTGACATTGGTTGTATTGTTGAAAAGGAAGTGTGAGCTAAAGCTTTCCACACATCTGCCACAGCTGGGCCAAGCGCATGAACGACAATGCGGTCACAGTGCTGTCGGTCCAAGACCCCTCCAACGGGGCTCCCCACGGATCACGCCTTGCGGACCACGAACCTCCGACCAGCAGCAGCGGCAGCGACGGTTCCCTCCTCGGCTACGGCAGCACCGGCAGTGGTGCACCAGAGCCCAAGGTGCCCTACCTGTGCCACCAGTGTGGCACCGTGTACCCGGTGTCGGCGGCAAAGTTCTGCTACGAGTGCGGAGCAAGGAGGCTGGGCCTCATCGCTCTCTACGGACAGTGAGGCGGTTGTTCACTTTGTGCCAGCGGGTCATGCAGGGAGGGTGTTATTGGTATTGTTGCTGTTAGTCCTTTGGCTCTCGACGAGCGAGGGGTTTGGGAGGTCGTACAAGAAGAAACCTTCGAGTGGCTCTTGTAAGACTCTGATGCAGCCATGCTGAACCGAGGAAATGACTGGTGCTGGTTGGGATGTATCGCAAGAGCAGTCTGTCGATTCTTGCGAGTTCTTTTCTATCGCACACAGTTTTTACAAGTTGTTCTCTTTCGAGTCGTGATTTAAAGCTTGTTTGTTATTTGTAGCCGTATAGATTATTGGGCCAGTTAATTCGTGCACCATGGTTTGCTACGTATTACCAAAAAGAGGTTCTATCTCTCCCCTCATTTTAGGTTTTTTTTTATGCTCATTATTTGTTTTGTCACTTCTGATGACTGCAGCATTGGTGATGTTATTACAGTCTATGGGATTTGTTTCTTTGCTATCAGAGTTGAATAGGATTGGCTAAATTATTAACGCTGCCTTTCGTGTTTGTGATGGATCAAAATCAGAAGGCTGGTTGTTCTTCACCTACTAACTCCAGTGGTACCCTGCAGTCTGCATCAATTTTTACTATTGAAGCTAGTAACTTGCATGAGTAATGTATGATTGAGAGAGAATTTTGCATTTGCATTGCTACAATATATATTTTTTCTCTCAAGCTACACAATGATACAATCAACTCTAACTGCAAGTTATGCGAGTTCACTTTACATATGTTCTCTATGTTGCACCTCTTGCATATCAAACTTTTGACTTATTGAATAGTGCAAGAATATGACATTAGAATGTAATGCTTTAAGCAGCTTACTATATTTTGTGGTGAATTTTGTGAATTTCATGCAGCAAATATATTGCCACAGTGATGAATGCTTGTGGTCCACATGCCTAATTGCTAGAATTAATTCCTATGAAATATTATGAAAACCAGCACTTTGGAAAATCTATAAAATATTGATGCCAAGATTATAAAGTCATCTACAGTTTAAATCAATCCCAATTCTAATCCCTTTCTACAAATTTTGTGATAATTCCACTAAAAAGACTTTAAGTGTAGGATTATTATTATTTTTACAACAATGCTAATACAGAACTGAATATCAGAGGACACTGCAGTTTCAGTCTTCTTCCAGGCAGCTTCAAGAGGATAATGGGACAATCTTGAAAGGCAGTAATTTTCTTGTGCAGTTTCGTTAAAAATATTTTTTGTCCATGTTGTTTCTGACCAGCACATGATGACTGACTCCAAGTGCTTTGCCTGAAACATGTAATATGTTCCCTGTCATTGAATATACCGTGCCACTCAAACCCTATCAGAAACTGAGTTACATATAATTTGAGGTTACAGCTGTGCTCTTGATGTTGCTGTTTGTTCTAGTTTAAGCTTGAGGAGAGTATTCCTACAGTTTAACCTTTACTATAATTTTTAACTGATTGCATGTGGACAAAAGAAATGGTGCTGGCAATGACTTAAAGAAGCTATTTTATGAGTGTCAAGGCTTCCATTCTGAATGTCATTTAGTCACATTCAGAAAAAACGTTCCCTTGTGGTAATGGTGGACATGTTTTTTTAAAATATTTGATCTCCTATACGCCATTCTAATGTTAATACATGCACAGCCCAGCATACAATCCCTACCGCCCCACGCAGGTGTGTTGATCACTTTGGCAAGAAAGCAGAATATGTGCCATATGCACAAAAGCTGAAAAGCACATTGACCAAAAGTTATTTCTTTGAATGGTCGACCTATACGGCCATAATCATAAAGAAAGCATATTTGCTGGTATTACCGGGATGTGATCCAGTGTTTTGAAGGTATTCCTTGGGTTTCCTTTTAGAAGTTGGGCATTATACCTCTAGTGTTCTTTGTTTGCAATGAATGTTAATTTCACCTTTGTGTAGCATCCTGTTTTCATTACATTCTGCCACCTTATGTATAACTTGATGCAAGTCCATGCTTTCTGATGAAAGACTGAGTTCTTGAGCTGACATTGATGTTCAGCATTGTTTAGCATTTGGTTTAAGCATATATCACCACCACTGAACAATCTGTTTGTTTTTCTTGTTCTTTTGTTTTTTTTATGATAATGCAATTAATTTAAAGGTGCAAGCGAGCTGGACACGAATGATGATAATAATCCCGGAGAAGGGGAACAAGGGTACAAAGGACAAACACAAATTTCCAAACACGGCAAACACAGTCGCGCACCAGTCTTTTAGCTGTGTTTGGATATTTGTGTTTGTCCCCCTTCTCTAGGGATTATTATCGTTATTCTCATCCAGCTCGCTTGTACCTTTGCATTAATTGCATTATCATCATAACATTGAATTGCAGACCACTCGCCCTTGTTAGTGTTAGACTGGTTGCAGTTTTTAAAACTCGTTTGCTCTACTGACGTCTAACTCCTGGTTAGCTCAGTTGGTAGAGTGCTCCACTGGAAATGGAGGGGTCCCTGATTCAATAACAGGACTAGGCGGATTTTTCCAGTCACGCACCAGTCACTTAGCTGTGTTCGGAGATTTGTGTTTGTCCATTCTCCCTCTTGTTCTCCTTCTCCAAAAATTATTTCATTATTCATTTTTTTTTGTTCAATGTAATGCATTTTTTAATTTACAACTTTCTAATGTTGTTTTTCTGGACTGCATTTCTGCACCGTTTCTACAGTGCAAGCTTGGGATCCTTATGCTTAACTTTGTTTATAACCGGTACTGTTTTTATTGTTTTAATGGCAGCTGTTAGGAGTTAAGCTTGAAACTTTGGACATATGTTGTCCTTGTAGCAAAACAAAAAAGAAAGAATCATATTCATTATATTTGGTGCCATAATGATATTTTAATCACACATTATATCAGGATAAACATTGTTTCACACAATGACTTAGTGCAATTTATGCCTTTTTTCTTCAAACATTGTATTTATTCGATGTAATTTGAAGGGTGCCATATATTGATGTCAATTTCGTTTTATGCCTAGTCATATTGTGCATGATGTTTGAGTTGGTGACACATCTTTATATTTGCATACCATGCATACACAATATAAAATAACCTTGTCTCGAAGATAATGAGAGATGGTTCACGGTGCCTACCCTGCCAGCTCAGTCGACTAAGGTAGTGGGTGCCGCTCTTGAATGCTTGATAGCTTGGTTAACTTTTTTTCTTATTCAGAATTTTTTTTACCGTTCAAAATTTTTTTTTATATTTTTACTGATAGCTATTTAACATAGTAGTTGCAGGTCTATCAAATTTAAAATGATCAACTGAAAAAATTAAACGTTTGTTAGTTTGATGTTCTTGAAAAATAGACATCATACTCCCTGGCACCATCATATTTTGCAAAGAAAATGTCAACAGAAATTGCATAAGTATTCTAACAGTTTGTGCATGCTGACCTATCGTCTCAAATTTCACTTTCGTGTACCGGTGGCAAAAAGCTGTATCCCAATTTTTTTAATGGCCTCATGAGCAGTCTTGTACACGTTTTTGGGAAAGAGTACTTCATTGCAATTGCAATTTTTTTTTTTTGCTAAGAAGTATTAAATTAGGTCACTTCATTACTTGATGAGAAAAGGAAGTGGCCGTCACTTTTCCGATTACGTTGACGTTTTCAAAACCACGGAATTTTCTGTTGGTTTGAAAACGGGTCTTTCTTAATGTCATTAATAGAGCAGAATCGCCAAACTATAAACTACTTACTTTCTTAATCTACCAATTTTGGTAAACCATATTTCTCTTGGGGACTTGGTTCGAGGGCCCCTTAGGAGGAAACTTGTACAGAGGCGCCATTTGGAAGGGGAGAAGAAAATAGTATTGGTTAATAGGAACTTTATTGCTCTGAAGAGTAATCAGATTACTCTTGCGATTGCTTTAATTAGCAATCGCAAGAGTAATTTAATTTGTCTCGCAAGAGTAATCAGATTACTCTTGCGATTGCTTTAATTAATTTTAATGAGTGCCGTACAGGTCCGCTCATGCATCTCATATGACATTTCTTAAATTGACAATTTCTTGACTACTTGCAGCTTTTATGTTTCGTTGTTTTGAGCCTGATTATGAAAAGTTAATGTGCCTTCATTTCTTAGCATATCAACTTCCAAGCATTTTTATAAGGGGTTGCAAAACCCTCGATTGAGAAGACTGACGCATACACAAAAATCCCACGAAGTTAATTTGACACTGAACATCTTGTTATACACTGAGGTTTTGATTGTGTTGATATTTGTCCTTGCATTAATGTGTTATTGCATATTGTTCTCATGTTTGCAGGTCGAATAGGAATGCCGTTTGTTGTCTTATTTGAGTTGTAGAATAAACTGCTGTGCATTACATTTACTTGTTGTGTGCATTTTCTTCCTGTTATTGAAGAACATTCTAAGAAGAGAGGAGGGGGAAGGGGCAGAGGAAGCTGTCTGTCGATATGTTAGTAGGGATATGAAGGGAAAGGGAAGTGCCACAGCAAAGGTGGGGAACGACGTTTCAATCAAACGGTCTTCTTCAGGTGTGCTAGATCTAGCTGTTGTGTCATTCGCTTCCTCTCCATAGTTTGCTCTGGCTGTAAAAAAGTGGAGAGGGGAAAGAGCTGCGTGGGAAGAGCTAGCCTAGCTGCAATAGGCTATGTCAATAAAAACCAAACACATTGGTTTTTTTGTTTTGTTTTTGTAATATACGTTATGTGCAGCAAAACTGTTCACAATAAAAAAAAATATTTTAACAGGTATATATTTAAAATGACGAACTTTACTGCGATGAGCCTTTTCATGCACTGACCAGTTCCTGCCAAGATTTCGCGGGCCTGAATCACAGGTACTACGAGTAGCTACTATATAGGCATGCCGATGCCCGGCAAAGCATCTGAATAAATATCAAGGTCGCCGACCTCCTCGTACCCGTTCCGCGTTTAATCGATCGATCATAACACGGAAACCAATTTCGTGATCGTCCTATCGCACGTGACTGGCCAGTGACATTGGCAGAAAAAGCCTCCCTGCTGCGCGACCGTTGGGTACGTGCCACGAGTACGTGCAAAAAAAAAAAAAAAAAAAAAAAAAGCGCGCGCGCAGACACACACACACACACACAAAACATAGCACTGTTGTTACTTGCGTCCTCTCAATTTTTTTTTTTTAATCCATACTGAATTAAGCATTTGAAACTAAATGACCCTTCCCTTTGTCTGCTGTTTCTTCCTCCTTTCAAGTAATGTGTCTTGAATGCCCTTTGCGAAGAAGAGTTCTCGGAATGCCGAATGCGCTATCGTCACTTTGTTAAAGAATTTCCCCAAGTCCTTACTGCTCTCACGGATCCTGCACGACGCTTAATTAATTTTCTCATGCATAACCAGAAACAACGCTTCATTCGTGAAGTGCGGGCGTAAACGAAATCGAAACTGACATTTACGCTTGCGTTTGCTGGGTTTCCTGGATTTTTTGCAAAAATAAAAAGAAATAGCAGTTTAACTAAATTGCGTGAATTATCTCTTAGGCCATTTATTTTTGTTTTAGACATTTCATGAATTGTCTGAATTGGAGTAATTTTTGGCCGAGCTCAGCGCACAAACTCTTTATGTCTGAAAATTTACGATTCGTCCACCTACCAATCACGTGACTCATTCATGGATCACAAATGTAAAAAAACACGAGCAACAGAACGTGCACGTCCGCCTCCTCTGCTTCGCGTTTTCGCTGTCTTGCAAGGCCTTGGCAATCTTGGTACGCACTTAACTGTTTTCGAATTTTCGTAGCATTTACGCGATGGTACGGAACTCACGTGCACTCTGTTACATGTGCTATTGAATTATCTCTGCTCTTGAAATTCTTCCCATGGCGGGGTACAATGATCGATGTTAGATGCTCCGGCGAGCGCCGTATCGACACAGGGCCACCGGTCCAAATCCGAGCTCAGTTTCTGCAGAAGGATGTAGTTTCTCTTCTACGCCGTTAATTTAACATTATCCCAAATAATTTTCCGAATGTATGATTTCTTCCTCCCGTCTTGCCGACAAGAACAAGTGGACGGCAACTGCTGTTGTCCATTTGTCCTTGAGAGTTGGCCCCTAACTTTCCCTAACTGGGTTCGCGCAACCCCCATTCAGGTCCCTTTGATGTAACTTGAGGCGTGGTCGCAGCAAAGTAGAGATGGACGTCGCCCCCAAAGTCCAGGCCGAGAGTCCCGCACCCGCGGAGCCTCCGAAGCCGGCTTGCAAGCCCTGCTGCCGAGGAAAGCGACTGAAGAAACCCAGTGAGGTGAGTTTGCTGAGGATTTATTAAACTATCTATCCCTCGGCGACCGCAGGGTCTGAACGCCGTTGCAAAGGGTAGTAATTAGGAACCCAGAACACCAAAACGTCTGTTAAGTCTGTATGACGGCTTGGTAGGCTGTGCATAGGGGGGTAAAGGTGGGTGAGGACGAGTGGCAAATCCCGTGCGCCGACATCCTGGGTCCCGAGTGAAAGATCGCGAAAGAGAGCGACAGAACACGAGAGAAAAAAACCAATGTTGCCAGCTGAAGGACGACAGTCGCAATGGTAATCGTGAAGACTGAAAACTCTCAGCAATATAAAGTGATAATTTAACGTTGTAAACCGAATTCTGAGCTATTCTAGCGCTTATAAAAAGCAGTACACTCATTACGCTGCATTAACTTCCCTTCTGTTGAAATCTCGGAAATCTGGTGTTTGCTCGGTTTCGTATTCCTGGGGCGCGCCCACTTGCGCCCCGCCCGCGAGGACGGTTATCTGGTTTAGTTTAGCGTTGACGCGAGGCCGTACATCTGCGCGCTATGCAAAAAGAAAGCTTCGAAAGGAGCGCAAATATCTTTCCACCGGTAAGTTCGCGAATTGTTGAAGTTCATGAAACTGCTCTGATGATATAATTCGTGAAATCGAAGGCAGTTGGTAACAATGTGTGGGACCCCGAGGGTCTGCCTGCATGCTCCGCCGCTTGCGGCAGCCAGAATGCATGGGAAAATGGCGGACCTTTTCCTCTAGAGTTAGTATGTACAATCAATATGGCTGTGCAAGACGTCCTCCCTACGTCTTGGCTTGACATGGCCTAGACGTTCGAAGACGTTATGCAGCCGGTAATTGTCTACAATACGTTTCCGAAGACGTCTTGAAGCCCGAAAGGATGGCCATCAGCTGAGCTCGAAGGCTGATACAAGGTGTCTAGGGGCATATATTATGTCTTTCTTCCTAGCTCTCATCCAATCTATTCTCCGTATTCGTCTGCCCCTCCACAATGGTGCCCTAAACTCGTCAAACACTAAGTTGGAGCCAACGGTTTGTGGAGCGCGAATTGGACGTCTGCGAAAAAAGTGCGAAGTCATTGTCGTGATTATCCAATCGGTGCACTCTGTCAACTTCGTCCCGAACTTTGTGTTTGGCGAGTTTAGAGACCCTGGGTACTACAACCACAGAACCCATCGTCATTTTCATTTTCACGAAAGTTTTCTCTGTCTGTCTGCAGAATGTCTTGTACAGGCAGCACGAAATGACGCGTGGTCGTTGGTACAGGCTGCTCCATCTGGAGGGCCCCTGGGAACTAATGAAAATACGCCGGGGTACGAGGGTGCAGGTCCTATTAACATGAGCTCGACCCTCGTGCGGCGCGTCTGAGAGTTCCGCGTTTCGCCGGTGGCGCGCTGTAAGCGCCGTCACATTCGATACAAAAAGCACTCTCACTCGCTTTGTGTATCGGATTCCCAGCGATATCTCTTCAGTGCTCTCATTCATTATTGCTTTGTGTATCGCAAGGGCGAAATCAAAGATGAAACATTTCGTGCACAAAGGCCCCTTAGTGCTTGACGACGTGTCACCGGATCCACGCTGGGGCTCCGGTGAACAATGTGCCACGCGCGGTTTCTGAGAAATAGTGAAACGTCATAAACGTGAAATAAAATTTGTTTATTCGCATGACCAAACTCTTTATAAAAAAAAAATGCTGCAACAGACCGACGCGGATGCCTCGGTTTTTATCAGCAATGTGCATGTTTTCGTGCGAGGTTATCAGTCGGTTCTTAAAAAGCGAGGAATTGCTTGCGGACGCTCTCTTTGGTAACATGCCAGGCGTATCAGTTCCGGAGCGGAATAAATTCATCACCCTGTCTGAGCAGGGCCTATTGCAAAGAGCTATAGCCAGGTTAAGCGGCCGCACGGTGTCGACCGGGCTACAGTGGGGTGACAGTGCGGCAACAGAAAAGCACCCTGAGTGACGGCGCTTACAGCGCGCCACCGGCGAAATGCGGAAGTCCCTGACGCCCCGCGGGTGGGTTGAGGACATCTTAGTAGGACCCGAACCCTCACACCCAGGTGCATTTTCATTAGTTCTCAGGGGCCCTCCAGGTGGAACAGCCTGTGTCGATGGCCACGCGTTCTGGCGTTCGGGTTTCATTCCGTACTGACTGTACAGTCGGCCACAAAAGTTTATGGACCACGCGAGCCATGGCCGAGCTGCATCACTGCACTACCTTGCGGCGCGGTGCCTGTTTTCGGGACCCATAATGTGGGCATGCGCATCCTCTGATAGTCGCAGGCATGTTAACCTTCCTGCTTCAGCCCGACAGCTTTTTATTCTCACGAATACGGCGCCTGGCGACGCTTCGGTAGGCGCTGTTGGTCGCCATGCCGCACCTGTAACTCGATGGCGCGATGACTTACGGAAGCCGCGATATCAACTCTATCTTGCGCCATCCAGCATAGAATTGTTTTTCCCAGCTCAGTTGCTCAGGTCCCAGGAAGAGAGCCAGTCTGTCTATATTTCCCTTTTTTTCGTTTGAAAAGTTTTTTAAGCTATTTTAATATTTTATTTAATAACATGCACACTATAATAAATGATTCTGCGTTAATTGTTGTAACTGACTGGTCGACAGGGCAGCAAGTGCAGACAAAATTAAAAGGCTTCTAAAAGGGACACTAACACTCCCCAAAATGTTTTTATTTTTTTTATTTTTTGCCAGGCTATTTATTATGGTGTCACAAGACTACGTAATCAATATTTTGCTTCAGTGTCTCATGTATTTTTAATAAACTGAAAAAAAACTTCAAGGGGCCCTGCAATCATATTTAAGCATCTACCTTTTTTTTTGCGGTTCCACGTCTCTTGGGGTTCGGGCAAGCCAGCGTGCATGGTGAGAGTAACTAAATATCAGTGCGTCATGTTTCAACCGGACGACGCGGAAACCTCCTCCACCGACGAAGGCGACCTGCGGTACCGAAAGCGTGCAAAATGTGACGTCTTTTGTGCTGGGCTTACTACTGTATAAGTGGCGCAAACCGTTTCAATTATTTATAAAAGTAGTTTTTGTTCAGTATTTTAGATCAGAAAAGAAACAAATGCAGTTTATAAAGTACGGAAATGAGAAATGACTCGTCGACATATCCGCCTCCAAGCGGTGGAAAAGGCGGCGAGATTTTACCGGCACCGACATAGAAAGGTCCCGGATGTATGCGGCAGCGCTGCGGTCGTATGGACAGGAGGATCTGACCGGCTCCGAGCGTTCCAAAGGCCTTCGGCAAGAAGCTTTGTCTTGCGGTTTGGCCGTTTCGCGGTATGGCAGCGCGAAGTGGCTCCCATTCTGAACTGATCTTTACCCCGTGTTTGCTGTCGCTTGTGGCCAATGAAGTGTCATGCCGAATTAGTGTTTAATCGCGCAGCAAATGCAATGAGAGCCGCTCTGGCTGCCCGCTGCATACAGCCTATCCAGAACATGCTTTAGTGGCACCCTCTCGCGCCGTCGACACTGAGTGCAGCAGCCGTGAGCGCTCGATGAGCTCACTACCCCTCCTCTAGTTCACGGCCTCTCAAGCAACCAAGGACGTCACAAGGGAGGTTATTTTTGGCTTGTTTTGTAATTTTAATTTGCCTATACTTTTTAAAATAAAGTGAATTTCGAGAAAAGAATAGTTTCACTAAGTTACTATGTTCAGTGCGCTCAGGTTCGGTGCAAATTAAAAACCAGTAAAAAAGTCCTTGCAGGGCCCCTTTAACTGCTCGAAACCGAAACTGGACTGAAGAGGAGGAAGAAATATAGAGAAGGAGAAAGATACAAAAAGTCACGTAGCTGTGCAACTTTTTTTTTTTTTCTTTCTTTCTTTTTTTTTTTTAATCAACGTATTTGCAGCTTTTTAGAAACCACAAAAAATGGGTGTAATATTGTCCATTTCTGGTATTGAGTGTGTGCCTTCAATGCCCCACAACTTCGATTATCTTTGGTGGTTGTGTCTGAACCATAGAAAACTGCACGTGACCACGGAGAAGAGAGTGAGCGCGACTCACACCAGCCAGTAGTTCTCAATCGGCGGTTTTTGGGTAGAAAGAAAACGAATTTCGAGCCGCAAATCATGTTCTGGGTAGTAGGGCTCTCATACGTCATGTACAAATAAAAACCTTGGCGAGCATAAATACCCTGTCACTGTCCGTTTAAAGGGCACTCCACTCAATTACGAAGATTTTGGGATAATGAGTGATTTCGCATTAAAAAGCCCTAGTAAAAAACATTATGTCATTTGGTTCACAAAAAATGGGATATATATTTCTAAATCTAATTTTAAACACAAACAGAAATCAAAACCGAAACTTTGGCTCCGTTTGGCAACATTGGCCTCGGGTTGCCAAGAACATGGCTATCACATGGTATGAGATGCCACGTGATCCTTTACGCAATGACAAGTGGGATTGGGGCGGGCGTGTGCCAGGCGCAAATGTCTTCTGCACCGCACTCTTCACCATGTTTGGTGTCTATGACATTTGACGACGTCTGCACAACTGCGGCATAAGTCTGCACGTAGTCTTCGTAGTGTGAACAAAACTCCGAGAAACAACAATCACAAATGGTGAGACGACAATGGTGGTTGTGATGCGGGAAACGTCGGGGCAGCCGGATGGCTCTCAAGAAGCATGCTGCACAGGCGCATTACGCCAATCATGTGGACACCGCTGAGGGTTGAGAGGAAATGTTGCTGGCATCACCTGTTACACTTGCCCGGAGAAGTAAAGACAAGCAAAAGGGGACAATGGTGATGACGTTTAGCTCAATGTTGACTTTGCCCACGCCGTAGCCTTAACCTCGCTGTTGGCTGCGCCTCAATTTGCCTGCTCAAATCAGCTGATTTCTGCAACTTGGCGAGTTGCAAAGTTTGCCGGACCTTTTTTGAGAAACATTTAGACAGAACTATGTCGTAATATTTGATGTGTGGTCTTCCTAGGTGATACTGAAGACGACTGCATTGTTTTTTCAAAAACAAAAATGAAGCAGAGTTGCCCTTTAAACAAAAAAAAGAAAGAAGAAGACAGAATGGCTGTTTTCCTGGCTGCAGAGCTGGGAAGAACGATACCATCCATGTGGGGTGGTAGGAGATAGAGTTGGTATCTAAGCTTCTCCCACTCATTGTGCCTCCGAGATACAGCCGCGGAACGGTTGCCAATGGTGGTTATCGAGGCGGCACCCGGCGCCGTATTCGTGAGAATAATAAGGCGTCGGCCGGAAGCGGTGGAGTTGACATGCCTGCAAGTACAAAAGGACGCGTATGTGCGCACTATGGATTTCAACCGGTCTAGACCAAAGGTGCTGCGCCGCAAGGTAGTGCAATAATGCAGCTCGGCCATGGCTTGCGTGGTCCGCAAACTTTTGTGGCCAACTGTACATCTTGTGAAGATGCACACCTCTTGATGGCTCTGTGTTTTGTGGACAATAGACGAAAGAATGCAGGCGAAAATCGCGATGCCGTTCCAAGCAGTTTGAGTACATAAATGCTGTAAATCCAGGACAAGGTGTTGTATGTATGAGGAGGTGATTCTATTCAAGAGGCATGCAAGAATGTATGATATATCTGCAAGATGCATTCTCGCAGGTCTGATCCCTGTTGTTTTTCATAGTTAAACCCTACAAGTGTTATTTGAGGCATTGAGTGAGTTATGCAAAGCGATTCCATCGAAAATACAGAAAGAGTTTGTATGAAACTGTACTAGCAGATTACGGTTAATTTGTTTTCTTAGTTAACAGAAAAATATGCTAATGAAACAGTCTTGGTTGCTACTGGGAAGTTGTACATACAATGCTTGAAGCACCTCTTTGTTTATTTTTCTGTCAGCTGTCGATTTATGAATGCCCGGCGGACAATGTCGAGTATGAGCTGGTCGAAGAGCAGCCGGGAGCAGTCGAGAATGGTGTTCGCTATGTCCGGACGAGCCTGAGCCCCTACTATGGCACTGTCGCGGTAAGCCTTCACATTTCCTCAAAGGTTGAACAAATAATCTTGTTAAAGGCATTTAGGAAGTATTCCGAAGATGTTAGTTCGGTATACCGGCACTTTCGTCAAACATCAGCGAAAATGTTAGTGTAAAAATTATGACCTCATAAAAGATTAAGTACTGTGTTACCGTGCCATACTTGGCAAGCAGCCACCCAAATTTGGAGGTAAATTGCAAAAGGGACTCACTATAGGTGGGCTTCACCGCTTTTCACCGGGGTGCTCGGAGAAGCAGCTGATGAAGAGGAGCATCTATGTTAGCTATGTAAACTCTTGAGTCTGGAGTGGGCACTTATAGGTTCTAAGCTATAGTTTTCGAAGGTTTCTAATGTGGGCACTTATTGTGACATGAATGCATGTTCTGTGTTTTACGGTAGTCTCTGTCAAGTGGCCTATATATTGAGGTTCATGGCGTTTAGGATAATTTTAGGTTTTTATTTAGATTTGCATAATTAACCTCTTAATTAGTAAAATTTACCAGATAGTTCCAATTAGAAACTTGATGGGCATCATCAAAAACCACTAAATCGTGCAGTCAACTTCCAAAAAATTTGTAGCGAGTGCTTCGTTTTTTAAAAATTCTTCCGGTTTTCCCATTTCTTGTTTGCATTTTTGCTTTGTTAGCCTTGCACCTGTAGCACAAGTGGTAATTTTTGCATTCCACCATGTTACCACATGTTGCAAAGGTCTTTCTCTAAAATTTGCTAATTTCAGAAAGTCTCTGATTGGAACCATATATACATTTTTACGAATGAGGAAGTTATTTATGTGAAACTAAGAGAACTTAGTGTTTTGAAATGCTATGTACCTAACTAAATGGATCCCTTGGCAGTGACTAATACGGCACCACTCGTTTCTATTTGCAATGCATAGGTTTTGCAGGAAAGGTTTAGCTGACGTTGGGTGAAAGCACTTGGTACATTTAACTAGGTAACCTTTTCCACGTGTCAAACTTTGGAGGGGTAGGTTTATGAGTATAATCAGTCGGAGAATATGAAATGTGTATAAAATGCACCAGCTTATCTAGACCCTCTTAAAAAAGCACTAAATTAAAAAAAAAAAATTTTTAAAGGGTAATGATGCGACACAATATTTTAGATAATTTTTCCATGGAATAAAAATTCTTTTGTTTAAATATATATGTTGTTAGATCCAATTTAGGTGGAGGTCATGACCCAATCTTAACCTCCCCCCCCCCCCCCCCCCCAAAAAAAAAAAAGAATCGGTGGCCCTGCCTGTTACTACTGGATTGACTTGGCTGCTTGGCTGAACATGCTTGGAAGCCTAGTGTCTCTCTTTCGTGACATCTGGTGCATCTAGTCTGGCATCTGACACCATCTACTTGTCATGTGAGCAGACGCGCGGCAGCCTCCAGGTTGCCTGCTATTCTACCACCGTCTATCTTCGTCCGCATTGCCCAAATGTGGATACGAAATCTATGCGTCGGCATCTTTTTCCGCCTTTACCTGTCTGCTATTCTGCCCCCGTCTAAAAACTTCTCCAACGGTCGCAAGACGGGACCATGAAACCAGCGTTTTATTGTACGCGAGCCTTCGTCCAATACAAACGTCTGTTGATGTGGATATAAAAAGCGACTGAGAGGACTAAAAAACAATCAACAAAATAAATATGCAGTCCTCTCAGCTTTTCTGTTCTTGTTATTTTTTTTGCATCATCCATGAGCCAGGTTGGTGGGTGTCATGATGCACAATCAAAACACGATCTAAAGATATTTGCTTTGGCAGGCCAGGTGCACTGCAAAACTTGAGACCTACTTTCCTTACGAAGCAGAATGACGGGAACAAGCATGGACGAACTTGATGCGAGCCGAACGCCTGGTTGCCTCTAGCTAAATGGCCTGCAAATTCTTACCTATGACTTTTTGGTATTGAAAACATGGTTGCAATCACGACGGTTGCATGATTCACAGAGCAGCGGGGCCGCTTTTACGGGAACCAACATCTTTAAACAGCATCAACACGTGCAGACAAACAAATCAAGCCAGATCAAGCAAAATAGTTGACGTGGGACGCTATACCTACAGGCCAGTCCGGCTACAAAAACAAGCACCTGCACAGCGCTTCCGAAGGCACATACTTGTGACTAGGCCCGTAGCCAGGAATGTTTTGGGGGGATTTAAGGATAAAAGGGCATTAATCGAGCCGACGGGGCCCCGAGGTTTTTTTGAGTAAGGGAGACCATGAGCTTATGATTTGCTGGTTCGTCATCGTTCGAAAGGCTTCTATAACCCTTTTCCCGACGCAGTCGCGAAGATTTACCAGCGTTGTCTTGGTGGCAAAGTCGGAAGAGCAGCCGTGACATTCCTGTCTTTGCATGTCTATCTAGTGCTGACTGTTGGGTGCAGCGACCTCTACTTCTTTGTGATGTCCCTAGAGCCGATCGTTTACGCAGCAGCCTGTTTGGCCGATGTATTCAGCGCCGCGGGACATGGGTATGGAAAGTTCCGCTCAGTTTTGTTGCACGTGGTGAGCCTGTTAGCATGTTTCCTGGGGCAGTGGGAAGCCCTCCCTGTTTACCGACTTGCACAGGTCTCCCAGGCCCGATTTGCATGGGAAAATTACAGTTGTGTCAAATATGGATGTTACAGACTGAAACCGGTGGGCCATCGTGTGCATGCACACAGCTCGAACCAGCGCATTAGTAAAAAGCAAGAAAGGAAAAAGTCTTTTGCTTAACGTCCGCAAAACATTCCGGGAGCTCCGCCCCCCCCCCCCCCCCTCCCCAACTCCCCAACACACACACACATGTGCACCAAATTTCGAAGAGGCGCCCCCCCCCCCCCCCCCCCCCCCCCCCCCCGCCGCACCCCTCCTCCGCTGGCTACTACGGGCCTGCTTGCGACAGCTGTTTGTTGCAAACTGCGTTGGTTGAGAAGATCTTCCTCTAAACCCCTCGGTGGATGCAAAATCACTCGCACTCATGAAAATAGACGAGCTCAACGAGCTCCGATCTTTGAGCACTCTGCAGATGCCAGCAACCATGCTTGTTATCGTTTTACACTAATGCGGAAAAGGCAATCTTGGGATACTTTTGAAAACAATAATGACTCTATCCAGATTATTGGTTTCTCAAACATAAAAATATTCTCGATTAAAATACAATAAGGTGTTTTTACATAAGGTCAACTTGCCATTTTGTTGTTAGTTTGTTTTTTCAAGCAAATGTACCAATTTGAAGGATTACATTGCAACCTGTTGAAGAGATGTCAGCGTGGTAAGTCATAAGCTTCCGTGCTTTACGCATTTGAGGGGTCACGTAAATCCGGAATGCTCACCTTTGGCACAAGCCAGACACCTCACAAACAGCAAAATGGCGGACAAAATTATGTTATTGAAAACACCCTATTATGGCACGGAGATACAATTTTACAACCTACATATCACACGTCAATTTCTCCAACCAGTGAGAGCCGAGAAAAGGTGCTTAGTTATCTAAGCACCTGGCGGGACCTAGAGCATTTTTACCTCCACCTAAATTCCGTCTAACAACTTAACTATTGCCTTAAAAATAAATTTTCCTTTAAAAAGAAAAGAAAAAAAAAAGTTTCTTGTATAGGTTTTTTGAAAAAACAATTTTTCATTTCAGTGGCCTTTTTAAGTCTGTGGGATCTATATCATTGTCAGTTATACTAATAACTTACAGAGATGATTCCTAATAGACATTATTATATTTGCTTCCTAAAAGTTCTTGAGGGGTTGTGCAGGATGTGTCAATTAACGTCTAATCAAGTTCTGTGTCCTGTGTATGTGGACGAGTAGCTTAATTTACTAAGTATTCTATACTGCTTTCTTTCCTGGGGCATGATGTTCCTTCCAGCAGCCTTATATCACTGTAAGCAAAGATGAGAATGCTGGATAGCTGATTATAAGGAGAAAGGTCTGAATTGATGTACATTCATATTTCAGGCAGCAAGCGAAAGGGCTGGCAACATCTACAGCACTGCTGTGGAGCACTCAAAATGTTAGTGGCTCATATATTTGAAAGAAAAGGGAGCTTGCAGAACATGATAATGGCAGACTTGGTGAAATTTTGTGTGCCTTTTGCTTGCAGCCAGCTATGAGTACATAACACAGGAGGACAACACCATTGCTCGTGCAATGGCTATTTCTCTTGGAGGCCTTGGTGGCTTGGTTCTGGGAGCAAGAGGTGAGGTACTTGTTTTATGACAAATTTTGTCCTTAATGGATAATTGCAAAGAAAAAAAAAGTTTTTTTTTTTTAAACAGCCTAATTGGGACAAGTACCGTATTTGCACGAATATAACGCGAGTTTTTTTCCGAAATTACGTGCTCCAAAACGCACCTCGCGTTATATTCGGAATCGAGTTCAGCCACGAGGCGCGCGAGTCTGGAGAAAGCCAGAGGAGAAAACCATCCCTTCGGCTCAATGCAAAATATCAGGTGGGAAAAGAAGTGGGAGTGTGGAAGAGAATTTATTAGCTATTGGGCCACGTGAAGGGACGAATAGAAAACATAAAAAAGCATTTTTATCATTTTTGTGTTTGTACAACGCGCGCACGCCGCAGAAACTCAGCGCGCGCGCGCACACACACAGCATGCGGGAATGCGGGCACCGGCCAATTCGAGCCAAGCCAAGCCGGGCCAAGTCAAGTCAACACAAGCCAAGCCAAGACCACTAACCGCGTTTACGCACCGGCGACTAGAGAGAACTTCGGCGCGCACTTTATTGGATGAAATTTGGTGACGTCACAACCAATAGGAGCACGGAAACAGACGCGGTCTCCTCAACCACCTCAACGCCCGGAGAAACATCGGAAACATCGTGCCTGACGAACCGTCGTCGAACGAAAGGTGAGTGGTTTGAGTTTTCCTGTGATGTGATCTCTATGTGTGTTCGTTCCACGCGTCCGAGCTGTTTCTTCGTTTCAGATCTATTTGGCGCCGCTGCCTACATTGTTTGAGCCTGCGTTCACGATTAAAACAACCATCGCAGAAAGCTGAAAGCCCGCCGAAGAACGGCTGACTTGCGAGCTAAACCTAATTCAACAAAACTATTTGATCCGACAGAATAATGTGCTTGATCTTACATTTCATGTCGACAAAGAACTGCGCTGCCTGTCTTCGTCCCTACATGTTTTATTCTTTCGTGTTTTTCAAATCTTTACCAACCCGCGTCCAATCGAATGCCCCGATCACAACAAATAGTTGGTCGTGCTCCGATGGCCCTTATCATCAGCCGGTAAGGCAGTTACGTTTTTCGTTTCTATATTTTGACCCAAGTAACGTCATATTCTCAAACTGTGAAATTCTATCACCACCTCTAGTGTTACATTCTGGTGCACCGTGCACTTGCAGCTTCCTGCACCCCTGCGAGGTTTCCTGCGATCGTACCTTGTATATGATGGATTTCTCGCCGCACGCGAGTGCTCGAAGGCGTGCTATACACTCTGTAACATAGGTTGTGTGCAGAAAAGGCACAGGCCCGAGCACAAAAGCGCCCTTTTTGCACGAGCAGCCGTGCAAAAAGAACATTCTGCGGAGCTACGCCCTCGCACCCGTGCCTCTGCTGCACACAACTTATTAATAACCGAGCCGTTCTCGTTTTTGTTTTGCATATTACTGTGAAAGAAGTGTCATTGTTGTTTTCTTCTCAAACAAAACTCACACGCTAGACAAAAGCAAACAGATAGGAGTCTGCACATTCACACCCTTTTCTCCCTTGTGCGACAGGTTATAGCTGGTCGCGATTCAACACCGTTTCTTTTGAAGCTGATGGGCACCACAAGGCGTGAAAGAGGTGACTTGCAGCTTTGCCAAGGCAGCAGCAGGACACTACAAGCCTTCGCATTAACTGGCTAGCCAGTGCCGCTCTGTTCTGAACAGCACTGCGTGCCATGCAGAGGGTTTGTGCAAGCTCGCTGGGTGGCGACGCTAGCCACGGTAAGTGCATCCTATGCAGCTTTCTTTTAGGGATATATATGGCTTGCAGGCCATGTCGTGCATGTGCCACCCGAGGGACAGCAGTGCCAGTGGCAAGGCTGTGCTGATGGTAATCACCACTGCACTGTGTTTTCATTCAATAACTACTGAAAAGGAACCAAGTACTTCCGAGAGGTTCTCGGTTGTGCTTTGATGAACTCCAGCTCGCTTATGAACAGGTGGATGGCACAGCTGGCCTTTCCTAATGGACTTGATGTCTGTGTTAACAATGCAACGAGACTTCTTTTTAGTTTGGGGCGTTGTTTCTGCTGCGGATGACTAGCGTTGCAGTAGAGAAATATGCAAAATAGTGTAATGCTGGCATTAGTTACCTAAATTAATGGCGGGAATGACTGACCTACATTTCCACCGACTGCATTTCTCAGAGGAATAGCCTGGACTAGGTAGCTCGCTGCACTATGTCCTTCCTCCTTAGCCTGTACAACTCGGCGTCTTTTCCTGATTGTCTTATGTGGCTGCTTCTGTGTTTGCCTAGGCACTCGGTTGAAATAGTGAAAGCTGTCTGCATTGCACATAACTGCCATGAAAGCCAGTGTGGACGTAGCTGGGGTAGCCCCCAATATGGCTTCTCTAGCTCGACACAAGTAATGTTCCTACCACTGTCGTGTATGATGCCAATCCAAGATTGAAATATACTTGTGCTTTTCATTGCCGTGACGTCACGCAGGCACATAGCCAGGATTTTGTTTTTGGGGGCGGCAGCGGCGGGGCGGGCCGGGCCGGGCTCCATGAACCCCCTCTAGTTACGTGCTTGTGTCACAGGATGACGGGCTCACGGTTCGAGCGGCTGTGTAGAAATGAACTATGCCGAGCATTTGTTTCGTGCTGCTGGGTGGGATTTGGGGCGACCTTCCAAAGCGTTCTTTTCACACCATGAAACTGTTTGTGATCAGTTGTGAACAAAGTCTACAGCCCTAAGAGTGAACCTTTGCCTTCCCATGACGTCTCAATTTCAATGTTGCCAGTAGAGCTTTTCACTTTGAAAAACACAATGATGACCAAAATTGTAAATTCTGTAACTTTGCAAAAAAAAGCTATTTCGGCAAGATATTTCGGTTACTATTTCAGCGATGTTTGTTGATGTGTTTAGCAAGTTTTTAGGCAAATCGGGGACAATGAAGAAAATGCCGGAGTTCCCTTTTAAAACATAGAATGCACATAGTACACAATGGAGAATTTGCATGCCAATCATTCTCTTAGGAGTGTGAGTCGAGCCCCTTTGAGGCAGTTTGCTGCCGCAGCGTGCACTTTAATCTGCCCGAGAAGAGAAAACGAGATGAATGACGAGTAGGATATCTTTGTTCCAAGGCTTCTTGAGACAGGCAAGGCTAGGGAACCAGTATTGTTGCTTCTTACTACCCGGTACGAGACTCCAACCCGACATGCAAGGAAGTCGAAAGGCCTCTTCATGTGCCCTCTTTCTGCTTCCTTGTGCCTTGAGTTTTAGCTGTGTCTACAATTCACGCTCGCCTGCATGCCTACTCTTTTGGTCTCTTTTTTGTTCACTGTGTTACTGAAGTTTTCTGTCTTGCTGTCCCAGAATAGCATTGTGGATGCACAGAAATACAAGGTGCTCGACGCCTGCGGCTCTTTAATATTGCTTTTCCCGGTACCACGGCATGAGGGAGGTGGCCTCTCTCCCTTCCAAGCAGCTGCGATATACTACAAGCACTGGGTTACAACTGCAGCTAGCCCATGGGTACCGTTCTGCGTCCTGCACTGCATGTAGTTCTGAGAGCCATGTGAAAAGGCAGGTGTGACCTTTTTAGGCACTGTCACTTTGTTTTGTGCATTTTCTGCCGCTTTTTCGGGGCAACTTCTTTTTAAGATTCAAATATTAGAAAACGGACTCAAGTGAGAGAGGGGGTTCTCTGAGAAGACTGGCTTCTTTGCTAAACCATTGGGACTGGTATTATATCTATAGAGTTCATGTACACCTTACATCATGTACTTTTTCTTTAGTTTTATTTTACTCGGTACTTATACTTCGATGTTACACGACAGCCACTAAAAATGAGGAAAAAAAAAAAAAAAAAAATGTTGACTTGTCGGTTTTCTTATTTTGTTTTTTTGCAATATGTTGGAAGAGTAAATGATGTGGTCGGTCATTCATGTTATTTTTCCTACACGCACGTCCAGCCTATGTTTACATAAAGCCCCAATTGCCCCTTAGCAACGGAAATAATCTGTGCGACAGACTAGGCGGCAGCATTGTGGACGGAAACTGGCCTGATTATATCTGCCATGTTTAGAAACTACATTTGATGTCAGGTTATGAATTCATTAGCAAATTGTCCCCAAAAGAATCTACATCACTCTGCCAGTCAATCGCTGCCGTCAGTTGTCGTGACGTCACGTCCAGCAAAGAAACTACAAACTAGTATTCTTCTTTTTTTTTTTTAATGGCAGGCCTCTGCTGTTGATGCCACATAGCACGTCAACACTCAAGCAATTCTTCCGCTCTTGACCTCTCCGGTTTTACCTTGCGAAGTCGTGACGGTGTCTGCTTTTGTTTGCGGTATTTCCCATGTGTCGACGTGAGAAGGCAGCGGTTGTATCGCCAAGGAAGTAGCAATCAATCTGTGGATTTGCTCCAGCGGCACAGTGTTACAAACAGGACTCTTTCACCAAAGGCAAAGTCTAACGACTCGCCCTACAGTTGCCAGCATCGTGCAGCCGTGAATGCGTAACTTGTCCGAACGCTTTTATGCTTTCGTCTGTGTACAGTGACAAAATGACTCGCTGAATGCGAAATGCCGTACAGCAAACTACAGTAGAGTCTCATTAATTCAAACTCCAGGAAGTCACAGATTTTAGTTTGAATTATCAGAAATTCATCTAAATATGATACTAGATGGCATTATGATTTGTTACATGGATAGCTACTCAGACAAAGCAGATTTTTGCCAGTTTCCTCTACATAGGCCTAATTATAAGTACAGGCATAACACATTAGTGAAAGAGCTGTGACATTAAGTTTATTCATCCGGCAAAAAATTTGTCGATTGTGGACTGTTTAGTCAGCACATACGATCTCAAAATAAAATTTTCAATACCAGCCAATGCAAGTAGCTCTTTACGGGACTCTTCCTTTGCAAACAGAAAGTTCCGGAGCTGAGCGATGTGCTCAAAGCTATGGCTGTGACAGTTGGTAGTGGGTCATCCCTTTCTTCATCGTCATCTTCAC